AGCCCACCCTCCGCTCTGAACTGTTCGGGGAATTGAAAGGAAGTTAAGCAGGTTTCTTTGCTATAAGGTATATATTATATATATTCATCACAGCCTGGAAGGCAGTGTGCATATATCCTCAGGGTTATTTGTAGAAGAGATGTCTGTTTAATGAACTGCAATACTGAGCTAGCCTCAGCAACTTCATGAGCGTGGTTTTGATAGGTAAAGTGAGTTGGAGCTTTCAATTCTGACTTCTGTTGGGAGGACTTGAATTCTCCATCAAATTAAAACTGTTAATTTTTTTCCTCCCAAACAATTTTTATCTCATATTCTGATAATTACATTAAAACATCTTTTCTATCTTCACCAGTATAACAGCTTCTAAAATTTCCATGAACCTCAAGCAGGTATCTGGCCTACCATAGAATTACTACACATTGGCTTTAGCATCCAAATGTTTGTTTACTTTACTTAATATCGAATATCATTCTCTCATGTTCTGTGGATACAGCAGTGGGTAGAGAATGTGCATTAAATACATTCACTTCATCTGAGGGACTAGAGGGAACATTCTAAGTGGTGTTGAATTGGGAAATCCATACCACTGGGGTGTTTGTTGGGTGTACTAACTGAATCTTGATCCCGGTGTATTTATCTTACTGGTTCTGTTTCCCAACACTTCAGTACCTTCCCGGCCTAAGCTTCACTTTTCTCATATGTAAACTGACATGCTATTAGGGCATGGAAAGGTCCAGAACAAGGCAGTTTACACCTGTAGGCTTACTTTCTGAGAGGGAAAGAATGGTTAAACATTTCTACCCCATGGTCTTCAGGCCAGAGATAACTATAAAGTTTGCACAAGATTATAAACTTATTTTAAAGCACTGAAATTTTAGCAGGCTGTGATAGCTGATGGCTTTAATCCAAGCACTTGGGAGGCAGAAACAAGTGGAATTCTATGATCTGATGCTAGCCTGGTCTACATTGTGAATTCTAGGGCGGCCAGGGCTATATAGTGAGACCCTTTCTCAAATAAATAAATAAATAATTAATAAATAAATAAATAAATAAATAAATAAATAGGAGCCCCTCCTCCTTTTGTTTTGTAAGTCTTAAACATGGACTTTATAGATGTTAATAACTGTGCCATGTTGTACAGTCCAAAGTTCGGGCATCCCTTCAATGCACAGAGAGTAGTAGAAATAAAATCATGGGATCATCAGACATCAGAGGCTCTACAGTGTCTGGCAGGGGATAGGTGGTGGGCAAGCATGGATCATGTGCAGGGTTCACACCAAGTGATTCTCACAAAGTACCATTGGGATGCAGTTGAGACAGGAGCATGGACTGAACGTGGACTCGGTGCTTCTTCTAATTTTTAGTGGACTATTTATTTGTGTGTGTGTGTGTGTGTGTGTGTGGGGTGTGTTTGTGTGCACATGATACTCTGGAATTGGAGTGACAGGCAGTTGTGAGCTTTCTGATGTGGGTTCTGGGAGTCCTCTGCAAGAACAGCATGTGCTCTTAACCACAGAGCTCACTAGTATCATCCAGAGAACCCTTAAAACTTAGCCCATGAAGCAGGAGGGGCCCAGTGGTGTGGGCGGAATTTGTCTTCTATTTCTAGTAGCATAGTCTTGTGGTTCTCATACTCTGAGATGTGCATGAAAACGAGCTGGGGACCTTGTGATAAACACAGTTGCCTTTGCCTCACCGGTGAGCTCCAGGCTCAGTAGTGTTTGTGATGTAGTCTAAGAAGCTGGCTTTGAAGTGAGCATGCCAAGTGATTCAGATGGAGATGGATGGATTTGGAGATGAGATGCTTTGGACTAGCTATTGAGGAAATGTTCACATAACTAGCAGGTCTGATGAAGCTTAGGGCAGAGAAGATATAAGCAGAAGTCGCATGTTAACCTGAATCGTGAATTGCCACAAGCAATTTTCTCTTTGATGTAGATGAATGCATACCTGTTTATATAGATTCTTTTTCCCCCAAAGATAAAATATAATTAGGATTCATTGGGTGGTCCTATGTATTGAGTTTGGAAGAGCTGGTGATTTGTCCGAATCCTCTAGGTCTGGTCAGTCTAAGGAGGGAAGATCCTGTTCAAAAGAGAGTAATAAAAGAGCAGACACTGAACGGAAGGCAGGCAGCATGAGGTCCGGAAATGAGAAAGACGGAAATGGGGAAGGATGGGAAAAGAGCAGTCTGAGCTGATTGGTGGGGATCTCTCTGTGGAGGAACCCAGCCAGTATTTAACCTGTTTTGAAAAAGCTCGACTTCCAGCATTTTTTAATTAGTGGCTTGCTCGCTTTTGAAATCACCCAGTTGGGAATACTCAAGTTTTGATGTGTTTTATCTGCCTGCTAATTAGCAGTCTGCCCGGTTGACCATCATCCCCACCCCCCCCCTTTATTTGGTGGACAGAAGATACACATAAAGATCTGCTGAAGCAGGGCAGCTCAAGTCTGGGTTCAAGCCCACAGACATGCTGTATTGGGGAAAGACTTCTTAGTTATAAGCCAAGTTCCACCACAACTTTTTCTTGAACTCCCTTTCTTTCTTCCCTGGCTTGGGGGTGACTGTCCCTCAGTACAGTCCATACTTGAGAGGCAGTGGCCAGAACATTCATTCGTGACTGCAGTGGGCTGCTCTCTGCCTTTGTAGGAAGCATAGAAATGTTCCTGACCTCTAGACCAGCCTGTGATAACCAAAAATGCCTGTGGGACTTGCCAGTGTCCTTTGGTGGCAAAATTGCTCTCAATGGAGATTCTCTGGCAGAGCTGTATGCCCGGTCCACTTGGCCATGCCCATCTTATAAGTCCAAGTTCTTCCCTCACCCTGTAATTGAGAGACAGACAGCTCCAAGTAATATGAAGTCTATGGCAGACAGAAAAAAATCAAATCTATTCCTTTCTTGTCTTTGGGACAAATTTAAGGACAGGGTCTCTCATTGATCCAAGTTGGCTGTTAAAGATTTTTTTTTTTTAAAGTCAAGTTGTACCAACTAAATGTTCAAAAAGCTGCAATGAACGAAGAGGCTGCCTTCTCTACTTTCCTCCTAAAAATATTTGTGTTTTATTTAAGAATTAAGAGAACCATGCATGATACCAAACCCTCTCATGTGGAAATCCCCGAGGTTGTAAGCCATTTTGCTGTGAACTACAGATCAGTGTGTGCAGGATAGGCAGTGTGTTGGCTTGTTAAACAGTGGGGTTTGGGAAGTGTTTTGTACCTTGTCTTCAGGCTCCGTGTAGTCTCCTGAGCTTTTTTTCTGTGCCTTCAGCTTGCTGTGCAGAGTCTAACTGTCCACTGGGGACATCTACCTGCAGTGTCTTGTTTTCTGGAGTACCAACCAAGAGGAATTGAGGAATTATGGTTAAGCGAGAGAAAGAGGGAGGGGGGAGGAAGAGTAGCAACAAGCAACAACAGCAAGAGGGAAAGAGAGTAGGGCCAGGATACTAGGGGCACGTGCACACACACACAGAGGTTGGAGATTCAAGTTTATTAGCAGTAAGTTGCTGTTGCTATCCCATGTCTTAAGATATCCTATAACACCATGTACTCCTCTGTACCCAAAAATAAGCCAATTAATTATACTGCGATCATTTCTGCTGATAATGAACTAGCAGTGATAAAAGGAATGTCAGTAGACCATTATGAGAATAAACAGTATCAGGGAGATGGGAGGAGAGTCAATACATGGGGTTATGTCTCCTGAATCAGAGCTTCACACCCTCCTCCGATTCTGTCAGGGGATGTTTGTGACAGCTCTCTGTCATTAACCAGGACACACACACACACACACACACACACACACACACACACTTAAAACGAGAGTTTTCATGCTCATAATGAGCCTTTCATCAAAAATCTCAAGGCCATCCCCAAATATAGCATGAGCCTTAGAACTCTATGATGTTTTAATTTTAAGCAGTTAGAATGATAACTTCCTGGCTCTGCTCAGCACTCCTCAGGAGTATGACCCACAATACCCCTGAGGAACCACTCCTTACCCTAGCCAGCATTAGAACTGTGTAGGAAGAGAGTTTTGTGAGTCCCACGCTCCTGCTCAGCAACTAAGGTCTCTTCAGGTATTATTTATGAAAATAAAATATTGCCTTATAATCCAATTGCAATTTTTATTTCCACAGAGTAGATGCCAGGATGATAATGTACCCTGTAGTAGAAGGCCATACACCAAAGACTATTTGGGAAGCAAAAATTAATCTTGAAAGATTAATAAGGAAATAAGATACAAAGTTAGGTGGGTAGAGGGGAGGGATAGATCATAAACAGTCGGGGAAAGGATGAATATGATCAAATGCATTATGTCAAATTCTAAGTGATGATGATGATGATGATCAAGACGATGATGACAATAATGGTGTCGGTCTGGGATATATGGAACATCCTGGGATTTTTGTTTTGCTTGGTTTGGTTTTTTGGATTTGTTAGAAACAGAAAATGTTTCTACAACCTTTATAAAAGTCCAAATATCTCCACACTGTGCTAGTGGGAGCAAACCACTGAATGAGTTCCCTCATTTTGTTGTCTGCTGTAATAAACTTGGCTAGAGAACAAACAGTATCCAGTCGTGTTCTGGCAGCGATGCTGAAAGTGTCAGTGTGGGTATTTACTTCAGCTTAACTTTCCTCTCGGATTAAAATTGTCTTTGTGTACTTTTAAGTAAGTTTGTTTTTGTCCAAAAGATTTTAATAAAACTTTAAGCACAATTTCTCATCTTCCACAAAGGAGGCTCTCAAATGCTGTGGAGGATAGAAGCAATTTTTATGTGCATACCTCTGGTTCCTGAGGGTCCAGTTCACTTCTGCTGTGAATTTAAATTAGTTAATTTAAGTCGATGGGTCAGGAGCCACTGTCATCATGGTAGCCCTGTGCCTGGTTCTTAATTAAAGGCAACAGGAGATTAATTTGAAACATTAATTTAAAAGTGCATATACAAAAAGAAAGAATTATTGCAAGAAAGCCTAAAGAACTTCTCTCTTGTCCCTAGATGTAGAAGACAGAAGTACCTCAGGGTCCTGGGGGAATGGAGGCCATCCAAGCCCGTCCCGGGTAAGTATGTCTAATCTTTTTCCCTGCAAGCAGACATGGTATATATGTAAGTTGACTAAGCCTCTTCTCGCATGTACCAGGTATGCACACACAAGGGTGCATGCTTCTGTGCACATGCATACACACACATTCACACACACACACACACACACACACACATATGCATGCACGAATGCATGCACGCATACACGCACAGAACGCAAACCTGCACAGATCTATATGCGTCATCAGTTTAATGACAGCCAGCTCTCTGGAATGCTTTGCTTTTCTCAGCTACCACACCTGAGTTTATACCTGTTGCTTTGGTGCTAACCTGAAGAGAAAGCTTTTCTCAAACATACGCCTTTACCTCTGCCAGCCTGGGGACAAGTCTGACAGAAGGTCATTTGTTGCATTTAAACCAAGTTTATTTAGATACATCCTAATGGGTCCATCACATGTTGGCATGTCTAGACTCCTGAGCAACAGTCTGAGGTTCTAGCTATTAGGATGATTTGCACAGCAAGTGTGCATTGTTTTTACTTTATGGCCATGTTATGGCTCCTCCAGTCAGGCCATTGATTATGCCATCTTTAATGCAATTCTTTTAAGGGTCTCTATGGCCAGAGCAGGTTTCCTAATACACATACAATGTCCCCAGCCAGGGGCAGACCTAGCATGTTAACATGAACGCCCCTCCTCCTGCTCCTCTAGCTGGCACGGTCAGCTGGGAGGGGACATCTCACTGAAAGTGTTCCGATCCATTTACACTGGGGGAAGTCTCTGTTTTGTCACTAGAGGCAGAGGTGGTCCACCAAGCTGCCAAAGAGGCTATTTTAGCCGGTCATAGTTAACACTTTGCACCTGTCCTTGGCACTGGGAGCCCCACGCCGGTCTTCAGGGTGTAGCGGGATGTCTAAGCCGACTAGGAACTCTTTTGAGCCCTGGAGCAGCTGTCGAGTTGACATTCTAATGCATTTATATGGATGGGTTGAGGAAATCTTTCCTCCTCCTCAAGTTACAGCCTGCACTTGCACAAATAAATCCAATCCCTTGACAGCAAGCAGGGATGGCAGAATGCCCCTCCATTGTTCTGTGTTCTCAGGCTCCGTAGTCTCCTCTTCTTAGGGACAGTTGTCCGTGCTTTGGACATCCCTGTACTTACTGAGCTAACTTCTCATAGTAACTTCTCCCTGCTGATTTCCTACCATTAGCTTACTTTTAAAATTTAAAATGTCTTACAGTATCTAGTCTAATATATAACGTGACTTTCAGTTGAATTTTGGAAAATAAAGCCCGTTAGAATCCCGCCTACTTACGTTCAAGTTTACTTTCCTGAAACTGAGATTTTTTTTTTTTCTAATTGAGATAAAAATTGAGCCTGTGGGATGGCTCAGTGGGTAAAGGTGCTTACTGCTATGTTTGACAAACTTGATCCCTGGGACCTACAGGGTAGAGTGAAGACTGACTCTAAGTCGTCCTTTGATTTGCACAGGCTGTGGCACACATGTGTGACGTGCCCACCCACAACACACGTTAAAAAATAAATAGATATAATTGAGAAAGAAAGAAGAAATACATTATTAGGCCCTAGAAAATAGGTCAGTCTGCAAAGAGCTCACTTACAATCAGAAGGCCTAAGGTTTTGTTTTTCCCATAGTACATTGTTAAGAAAAATTAATCCAGGGATGGTATTGTGTACTTAAAATCTCAGCACTAGGGGATCACTGGCCCGTTTGTCTACCCTAATCTGTTCATTTGATACCTGACTTTGACTTCCAGTCACCATATATATATGTACCACCCACGCAAATATATCCGCTCCCTCACATGAGTGTACACACACACACCACAGGAATATATAAGTACATATAAAACTTATGCCGGTGCATGATTTGAGTCACTATATTATAATTCACATCTCCCCAGTTCAAGGAATCACAGGAAGATATTTGTAGCCCCGTGTAAGGGGACCTTGCTGTGTCTCTTTCTCATCATCAGTGCTGGTAGCATCCTTTTCACTGTGCTAGCAATTAAATTGGATGGTCCATTTTAAGTTTGTAGTCCACTATCTAGATTGAGGACATTTCATAAATAATAACGAGCAGTATACAATGCCTGGGCCGGTCTTTAATGTACGACATCTAGTTACAAATTAACGTCCTAACAGGGTGGGATTGCAACAGCATCCGGGTTAATTTTTTATACATGAAGAAAGGTGAGCGGGAAGAGTGTTTGTCCTGAAGGTTGTGGTCCTTCTATAGTGAGGTGGTCTGACTTCATGTTGTTCTCACCGGCTCCATCTTTGATGTGTGAGCAGGCTCTGCCCTTTGGCTAACCTACCAACCTGATGCCTCTGGGTCAATTTGACTTAGACTTTATGGACAGTTCAACCAGCTGAGCAGACACTCCCTCCACCTACCCCCCACACCCCGGCCCCCTTTCCTGATCAGTTTATGCTCTTTAATAGGCTGATATTTAATAGGCTGCTATTATTTGATTTGAATCAAATACCACATTGATATTGTTTTTAACTCTCTCTTAGATGCTATTGAATTTCTCCATCGAACGTAAGTGATTGGAAAGCTTACAAGCAATATATTAATTTTAAATTCTGGAGATGAGGAGAACAAATATTATAGTGAAACATTTCCTCCAGAAATTATCTCCCTTAACATTGCTACTGTGCGGCACATTTTGTTTACTTGCACAAATACCGATTTATGCTGCGGCCTTAAACTCTGTGCATCACTATTGTGTGTGAGTTTGCATATGCAGTTGGGCAAGGGCATTCCTATGCCACTGCCCATATGGAGAAGTCTGAGAACAGCAGCATAGGCTTATTGCTCTGTTCCACTTTTATGTGGATCCTGCAGGTTGAACTAGGGTCTTCCGGTGAGTACCAAAGCACCGTTCCCCTCTGCGCCATCTCACAGGCCCTGTATTGAAGCCTTGATGTTCGTTCCTAGTCCAAGTATGACATTTTTCACATTTGTGTGTGTTAATTACTAATATAGTGAGCCATTCGCTTTGCAGCTGCAACAGTAGCAAAAATAAAACATTGAAACTGTAATACTGCAAGCTAAATGTTGCTTAAACATCTCAACTTTGCTTCTACAAGAGGCCAGTCACTGCAGGCTGTGAATCAGTTCTGCCTGCTTTGACATAGGTTTTGAGAAAGAATGACTTTTGTTATATGCAGTTTACTTCATAGGTGATGTCTTCGATGTAGTATTTCATTTAATCACATCAAAAATTTCATGCAATATCTTTGTATCAAAATTTCACAGCTATCCTTATGGGAAACATTTGAATTCTGTGGATTGAGAAGTTCTCTCTAACTTATTATTGTTATGACGGTTCAGATTCTTACAGTGAGACTTCCTGGGGTAAATGATCACTGACCCCAGGTCCTTTTGGTGGGAGAGGTTTCAGTATTGAGATGTGTTTCTGTGTGTATTTTCAAATGTGACTTACTCTGTCATTTTATTTACAGAACTATGGAGATGGGACTCCCTATGACCACATGACTAGCAGGGATCTTGGGTCACATGACAATCTCTCTCCACCTTTTGTCAATTCCAGAATACAAAGTAAGAAAAGTTTTATATCAACATATACTTTTGGAAAGCTTATGTTTTGCCAGTGGAAGATAAATGTGCCTCAGATAAACATTCAGCCTTTGAGAGGAGAGATAGTAAGTCAGTTACTATAGTGTTCCTAAAGGAGAAAAATGCCATTCATGAATAAATAGTAATAAAATGGCTGTGAATGTTGGTTAATAGAACAGAAAGTAGTAAGTTTTACAAACGTGGAATTAAAGACTTTCGGTGATACAGTGTATATGTACACTTTTGTCTTTCTTAGCCAGGAAGTGTTGTTTAACAGTAAGTAGTTTCCTTGGGACACAGTGAAGAATATTTGTAATAAAATATTTGGCTTTGTGATTGCCAAAGACAATGTAGTCTGAGTACCTCTTTTAGGTTGAATTGTACAGTCTGGTTGTGTTTTTGCCAGGGCATAGACTTTATGCTGTCCATCTAGCTAGACCTAATTCTAGTCACTTTACAAAAGCAGTATAGCTGCTTGCAGTTCCAGTCTGCCTGCATTTCTGCAGTGCCCCATACACACTAGCTTGGCTAGCATATTTCTCTGCCTTTGACTACTCAGTCGGGATGTTTGCTTAACAGCAGAAACCCAAGCAATGAAAGGATTATCCATAATGGCTTAAAAGGTCCCAGCGGCCAGCTACTTCCTTTTGATTGGAGACAATAATCTTTGTTCTAGTAAATGTGAGTTCTTCACAATATCAGGAAGCCTTTCAGACCAGTCTATTGCGAATCTATCAATAAATGAAGTTCAATTTCATGGACATAAGCTATTGGACCATTCTTGAAGGAAAATACCGAGCAATAATTATATCCTTCTAAAACTGTAATTGCAAATACTTTTCAAGAGTGTCCTGGTTTTAAGCCTTGGAAGCTATGCCAGTTACTTAAGGTGTTGATGGTCCTGTAATCTCAGTTTCGTTTTGTTTTTTAATTGCCATCCAATCAGGTATTTAACACAAAGTTGTTTTTTAATGGATAACATTGAGCTTATGCCTTTGAGTGTCTTCTCTACGCACCACAGAATGCTATTTGATCTAGGTGCTTGTCTTTGACTTCAAAAATGGTGAAGTTGATACTGAGGTCTTAACTTTTATCTAAAGCACGAGTCCCTAGCTCTTTTTAATTATTAGTGAAAAATAAATCCAGCCTCAGCTAATTCAAGACGTATGGAAACCTATGAAAAGAGATTTTGGTAACTTGGATTTTATTAGACAAATTTCAAGTCTTTGGTGTTAATACCTGTGATTTTAAGATTTCTGTTTTTGCTTCTCTGTTCATTTTTTACCTGACTGCAGATGATAGAGTCAAAGATAAAGTTAAGAAGGTGATCTGAGACATAATGTGCAAAGAAACTTCATTTAGAAAAGTCCAAAATTATTTCTGATGAGCTCAAATGTTACCTAAAATATGTAAGCCACTCCTGTTTAGAAGTTCGCTGTGTACGTGAACAGGTTTAAACAACAGTCTGATGGATTAATGTTTTGGAACATACCAAGGCATACAACTTATTCAAATAATGACTGTTCTCCATGTTTCTTCATGGACAGATACTTCCCAAACTAGTTTTTTATTTATTTATTTTTAATCCAAACTATTTAAATATAGGTGGGCTGACACTATAGACATGGCTCTTTTTGCTTGGTCGTTGTTTAAGTTGAAAACCCATGTCAGCGTCTCTCTTTCATCTGTCTGCCTTCCTTCCCATCAGACTCTTACTCATGGAGACCAGTACAGAGTCCTGCATTGTGCCGGGAATGCTTGTGTGGGTGAGGCTCCTGCCCACCGTTCCCCGTGCAAAGGCTTCTCTGTTAGATAAGCCGTCTGGCCTGAAACATGGCTCTTTATTGTTTATAAACTGCGACATTTTCCACCTCAAGCAGATTTCTGCACAGAAAAGAATTGTGCTTGGGCTAAACCGTTTATCTGACATTAACGGGGCAGTGTCAGACACGGGTCAAGGAAGTCACCCTAAGAGCGCAAGGTCACTGTGCAGTGTGCAAAAGGACACAGAGAGAGAAGGACATTGAAGCATGTATGAGATGCCTTACATGTTTAGTTTAGACAAGAATTGGAAGGTATTTTTTTTTTTTAAAGAACAGAAGATGTTGGTGCCTTTAACGCTCTCCCCTCCCCTCTAATTTTTCGCATCCTAGATGCTCTCTTGATGGGCTTGGGCATCTCAGAGCCTGGCTCTGTGAACAAAGATCTTCTTTGAGTTTGCCCAGGGTACTGAAAGTACTTTTTTCGACAGGCCCTTTGGGTGCTAATGCTTTTGATTTTTATTTTAAATAAAAACAGAACATGATTTTCAAAAGATTAAAGACAAGCAATTTTCAGATTTTCAAACAGAGATAAAGTAAGAGCCCTTGCTATCCAGCAGGTTGAACTCTTAGAAGACGGTCATGTTGAATCCTGAATGTTCCTTGTGTTTAACCTATATTCGAATGTGTCACCCTTGTGGACAGTTTGCTCATCTAAAAGAAGCTCTCAGACTCTACTGAAAGCTCTGGGCAATAGTCCACTCCTGAATCGTTAACTGGTTTCCATTAAAATTACAAAAGATTTCTTTATATTTCAAAGACTTTATTCTGCCATGTCACATTAGGGTAAAAGCAATAGCATTGGAAATAAATCAGCCACTTTATTGGAGCAGATTCTCTATTGTCAAATCAATCAAGTCTGTGACTGAATTAGGCGTCTGCTACAGAAATAAGTGGCACTAATTTTACGGGAAAGAGTTATTAACTGCAAATGACCTGATTCCTTGTGTTTTTTTGTTTTGTTTTGTTTTGTTTTTTAAAAACTTTTTACTTATGAAGTTTGATTTTATTTCAAGGAAAGAAAAAATACTGCATTAGCTCTCCTTTTTCTCCCCTTCAGTATATCGTTAAGATCTATTTTTTTCTTATGCCAATACACTATTTTAGCGACAGGATACAAATACTTGTTAACATGTTTGCTCATAAACTTCTTTATAACAAAGTCTAAGATTCAACGTTTAGAATTTATATGAATGTTCTTTTACAAATGCTATAATTTTTTTTTTTAGAAAATTAAATTTCTGTGTGGTACCAGAATGACCCAACTCATTGTAATTTGTGCCTTTATCTTAAAACTTCAGCCAAATGAGATATAACTGATAAGAATTAAAGTGACCTTATCAATCTTTTCATTTAGAAATCAGTTTGTTAATCTGAAACAAATGCCCCGTCTCAGGCTTGTGACATCCCCAATGTAAATCTAGATAAGCACTGGTTTGTATACACATGAGTCCACACATGGATGTTATGTGTAATGACCTTCCTTGGCTACAGGTTGTCTTTGTGAGAGACCTTATTGTCTAGCTGTGGTTGTTGTCCTTACAGTTTCATTAGATGATGCTATGTAAACTTGGCAAAGAACATATAACTAGTCAAGAAGCAAACTTCTGATAAACAGTGGCCTTTCGTTTTTGTTTTGCTATGGAACAGGCTCTGAGTGATGGAGAGAATATAGAACATGGACCAATTAACAACTTCTCTCACTTCCTGTTTTTCTGTGGACTAACTTATTGCCTTTCTAGAGGAAATAATAACCAACTTGCCTTACATGTGATCCAGTGTTCTGATTTGTATATAGAAGAGACAAGCCGTGTTAATGTAAACTTCATCTCTTGTATTTATGAACCAGCTTACTTAAACCTTCACAGTTGGGTACCTTTTGAAACATACTAACAGGACAGAGTTTAGTGTAATGTCTTTAAGATTATTTATGTGGTCTAGAATTGTATGAAAAACCTGGTAAGGAGCATACACAAAGAATATAGATATTTTCAGAAGTAATCTGTTTTTAAATTTTTGTTTTAGCCTATATCAATACAATAAGTTTGGTTTTGCCAGGCATCAACCATTTTGCAAGTTACCGTCTGAGTAGTTTTTAATGGCAGCCAGTATATTTTTCAGCTGGATCTCTTTGATCTAAGGATGGATGGGAGCATGTATTTTCCTTCTATTGTTCCAGAGTCTCAGTTAGAAACCACATTGTTAGAGGATGAGCGAGCCTGTTGCCCAGTGAGGTTAGGTTCATGAATTGGTTGGGGGGGGGGAGGAGAACAGTGGTGAAAAGTGATACATTGTAACAGTTGCCTGTAGCTTCCCTGTCAGCTGCTGAAGTTTTTGCATGCTCCAGTGTGAGTGGTTGGGTTTCCTAGCTGTGGTATTTGTGTCTAGTCCTCAGTCAGACTGCACCAGGCCAGTGAATAATTCACCACCAAAGTCACTGTTTTTAAACTAGCTCAGCGGAACATTTTACTGTGGGATTAAATGGAGGATTCTGGGAAGAACTGAAGAAAGCTGCTGGCTTACAGGATGACCTTTGAGTCTCATCTGGGTTAGCCGTTGGTATTTTGATTTGGTTACTGTGGTCATATTGTGACAGCTGCTGGCTCATTATAATTCAGTTCCACTGCTCTGTTTGCCTAGCAGGAATATTTAGGTTTGTATTACTTCAGAGTGTTTATGGCTACCGTGAGCTTACACCAGCGTAAAGGTGAAGAAGCATGGCGAGGTTTCTCACCCCAGTGGCAGAGACAGGCGATGCAGACGTCTTGTAAAAAAATGACACATTCTAGAAGATGCTAATGTGGTGTTTCTTTTCAGTGAAAGACGGAAAATACCCAATGAATTGGCTTTTATGAGGAAAACTGTTTTTGGAAATCTTTATGTGCAAAGGGAAGCATGACTGCAAAGAAATATCATCTTTTCAAAGCCTGGGTAGTTTTACTAGCCCACTCGGGCAGATGGGTTTTTACTAGCCCACTAGGTCAGATGGAGAAATGTAAATATTAATAAACAGCAAAAGCCAACTCTGGAAAGTCTTGTTCACTTTTAAAGTATTCTGAAGCAATTAGATGAGCAGGCGGCTTTTAAGTCCGTTAATGTTCGGCATTCCTCCTGGAATGGCTGCTTATTATTTCTATCATTATTAGCATCATTATGACGTTT